TACAATTAACAAAATTAAAAAGGCTATAGAATCCAATTTAGATATAAATGCGATTGAGCCAGCTTCTATCAGTAAAGATGATGATATTCTAAGCAAAAAAATTCCCACTCCTATCTAAAACTTATAAATATATTTTGACGATATTACCAGAAAATTGAACAGTGTCCAAAATAATGAATGAATTTAATACAATAAAATACATCGCAAGACCTAAATTATTGATAGCGGAAAAGTTATTTCTATTAACACCTAACCCCAAGCCTGGAAAAACTAGATGAATATACAGTTAAAATTGTACAAGAATTTTATTGTACGGACGAAATAAGCAGAATCATGCCAGCTAAGAAAGATTGCGTTTCGATTTTGATTAAAGACGGAAAAAAGAATACGATACAAAAAAGATTAATTTTAGATAATTTGAAAGAAATTTATATATTTTTTAAAGAAATGACACCTTATGTTAAAATTGGTTTTTTAAAATTTGCAAGCATTCGCCCAAAAATTTATATACTCGTTGGAGGTAGTGGTACACATCATGTATGTGTTTGCAGCTACCACCAAAATTTTAAATTAATGATCATTGGATCAAATTTAACTAAAGATGATATGTTGCCTTTAAAACATACAAACATATTTTACCCTTAATAATTTGTAATCCGCCTCAACCATCCAATTATATAGGCAAATGTGATAATTGTCCAGGGTCAACACATTTACGCGATCAAAAAAATATTGTTTCGTTTTAAGGACATCGAATTTATAACATACAAACAATGGCTATCCGTAGATAGAACCACTCTTGAAACAACAACCAAGCCAGTAGATGAATTTATCAATGCCTTTTTTGAAAAAATGGAATTTTTATTACTCCATTCTTTTATTTCAACGCAACAATCGTTGTGTCAAAACAATCTAAAATTGAACTTAGACGAAGGTTAATATTTAATTTTATGTGATTTTTCAGAAAAACTATAGTTTTATACTTCAGGATGATGTACAAAGTTTATTGGAATAGGGCACAATTCACTGTTCACCCTTTTGTTATATATTATAAAGATAATTTTGCCAATATTTGTTGCCTAAATTATCTAATGATATCCGAATCTTTGCAACACAATACAATAGCAGCACATTATTTCCAAAAAACATTGGTAAATTTTTTAATTAATAAAATTTGTATGCCAAATAAAATTTTTTATTTATCCGATGGATCCGCTGCACAGTATAAAAATCGTAAAAATTTTATTAATATTTGTCATCATGAGATGGATTTCGAGGTACAGACGGAATGACATTTTTCTGCTACAGCACACGAGAAAAGTGTTTGTAATGGGATTGGTGGCACTGTTAAAAGATTAGCCGCTAGAGCTAGTTTACAAAGGCCTTACTCAAAGCAATTAACCACATCATATGAATTGTACGAGTTCTTTAAAGAAAATATTAAAGGCATATATTTTGAATATATGACTCAAAAAAATTATGATTACGAAGAACTATTACTCAGGGAAAGATTTTCAAACCTATACCTACACAGAAATTTCACACCGTGATTCCAACAGGTCTACATCAATTTAAAAGTAAAATGTATTCCAATTCAATAGAAAGCACTATAGAATATTTATCATATAATGATGAAAGTATAATTTTTGGAGAAATATCAGGATACATAACGTGTGTTTATGATTCTAATTGGTGGTTAGCCTTTGTTTTACGGAAAAATCAAAAGCAGGAAGAAATATAAGTTTTTACACCCATCCGGATCTTCTAATTCCTTTAAATTTCCAAGATGTCATATCTTAAAATTAGTTTCACCGTTAATTGCTACTGGCCGTAGTTATACATTGTCGTCACAAGAAAGTATATGCGCTACCGAAAAATTAGAATATTTTAAAAGTGAGTTATATATTAGATTTTTAAATTTATATATTTTGCTAAGCCAAAATAATATCCCAGAAGAGGATGCATTAACCTTTTGGAAGAAAAAGCAACTGGAACTTCCTAGGCTTGCTAATTTAGCTAGGAAGGTTCTTTGTATACCTGCAACCAGTACACCCAGCGAAAGAATTTTTTCCATTGCTGGATTAATACTCAATGCAAAAAGGACTTCTTTATGTCCCACCAATCTTGATAAAATTCTATTTATTCATGATAATTATAATTTAGCTAAATCTGAATTCTGATTTATTATATTTCTTACTTAATATTTTGTTTGCATTTCAAATATATATTTGTTATAATAAAAATCAATAGAATATTACTAATATGTGTTGTTTATGTGACTCTGATCTGAGTGAAAAAGCAATTCCTTAGTCTATTTCTGAGAATGAGAAAATACATGAATTTAAATTGAAGTGAGACAAGAAATAATTTAAGAAATAAACTATGATAACAATGTGTTAGAAAAGAGCGCCAAATTATAAAAAAATGTAATACATTGATTTATAAATTAAATTTATTAAAAAAATTTTTTAAATAAATATCGCGCCGCCGCCGCCGACAATTTAGTAGGCGGCGGCTAAATCGGCGCGCCGCCGAACGCCGATAAAAAATTTAAAAAAAAATTGCCGGCGGCGTACAGGTCTAATGTTAATATACTATGCCAACGTGTGGACATTTAATTTTAAGGTTTTCATGTGCATGGAATTATTGTTATTATTATCATTGGAATTGCCAATTTGAAAACGGGTATGGATCAATGCTGTCAAGATCTAACATGTCTGATGTTAAATCTATTGTACTTAGACATTTTTTTGATCTTCCTCAATTCAAATTCAACCTCTGCAGTTTTATATCTTAGAGCAGTAATAATTTCTCTAATTCTTTTGCAAAAAAATTTCCAGACTATGGACTTTTTATTATCCAGAGTTAGGATACTAAAATTATTTATAGAATTATTAAATGTAGATACATCCATTTTTTAAAATATATAAAATTATGGTAACTTTTGGAATTTTAGATTTTTGATTGATTGAATTCTATAATGACGTCAATATAATTATGATTTTAAAATAGTAGAAAATAAAAAGTCATCAAAATCCTGATTGACATTAAAAAAATTACAACAGTGATGTTGACCAATTATTAGAATAAAAAGGAAAGAAATTTCTGCGCCGCCGGTGCTGGCGCGCCGGCCGATTTTCTTAAACGGCGGCGTTTTCGTGTAACCAAAAAATGGCGCACAGGTCTACTTCTAATTGCCTTTTGAGGTTGAAATACTAACTTTTGAAAAAGATATGTTCTTTTTATATAAAGAGCATATTGCAGTTAACATTGCATAGTTACTTCCATCCGTTTCATATAAAGTAAAATACTTATATAGCTTACGAAAATGTAAAAGATTCTCATTTATACCTATCACACCAATAGTAGGTGTATTATCTTTCAAATCTATAATGGACATTATTAAAACCTAGAATTAATTTATATTATATATAATTAGATAAATAAAACTTGTAGGCTGTAAATCTAAATGTTCTCTATAAAATTTATGAAATATTAAATATGGCGGATGTTGATAAAATATGATGTTAATAAATATTTTTTTTAAATAATTTAATTTAAAATTTTTTATTTTATTTATTCTTTTTAAGTAAAATATTAATTTTACAAAGGATCGAGATTGAATATTAAACAAAATGAACTCGATCACGATCCTCAATTTAAGATAGGATCATAAATCCGAGAAAATTGACAAATTTAGGATCGAATCCTGGATAGTCGATCTTTGATCTCGATCCTTTAACAACTCTGTGAACAATATATATGTTGGTTTGAATATCTATATAAAACTGAGAGCCTCTAGATTTTCTATTAATAAAATTCTACAATGTTGACTATCTACATCAAAAATTTATTAAAAAATGAAAAATCCTTTCATAAAATATTAATAATAAAATGGGTGAGTTATTATATATAAAAAAGATTTAAAATCCATTTTTATAAAAATAAATATAAAATCTTTGGAAGTAATTTGCGTAATCGGCTAATTTTAGCCGACTACAAAAGGGCTTAGCCGAGATTTTAGGTGAAAGATTGGCTAAACCTAATTAGACTACTCAAAATCGGCTAAACCTAATTAGACTACTCAAAATCGGCTAAACTTAATTAGGCTTAGCCTAAAAATCGGCGAAAACTAAATTACTTAAAAATTCTGCATCGGCTAATCGTCCGTCAGCGTTCCGTAAGATATGCCTACCATTAATTATTATTTATTTATTTTATTTATATTTAATGTAAATATTTTATTATTATCAACAAATAAACATGATATGATTTAATATTAATATTTATTTATATTCTTTAATGAAAATAAATTTATTTATTTGATGTTTTTTTAATAAAAAAAATGATATATTGTGTAATATTATTTTTGTTACATTTTACTAGTGATTTTCACGCCTAAAATTTTAAGCAAAAAAATATTTTTTGAAGTTCAAAAAGATTTTTCAACATATTGATTTATTAAGAATTTTAAATCTTCTTTGTAAATGAATCTTTTTTTGAGGAAAATATCTATTTTTTAAGTATATTAAAAGAGGTGTTTTTTTCTAAGTAATTTTTTGTAGTTTTTAGCCGATTATGCAACACTATTTGAAAGTATTAAAATAATGTAAAATACAATTTATAAATTTACATATAATCATATAATAACAAAAAAAAAGATCGGATCGATTTTTAAAGATATCGGCCCGATCCGATATTCCTTAAATCGCATAATATTGACCCCGATCTGATATTTAATATCGGCACAGTCCTAATAGAGTTATATTCAGTAGCATCCCTAGCTCTTATCACTTAGGGATGACCAATATTTAATTTATTTTAAGCGTGTTCAAATAAAATTTAAGTTTGCTCAACACCTATTACTTACCCCACCGACGCTAAAAGATTTATTAATAATCATTCAAATTGTTAATTTTATAGCTTATCGCCACTTTTTAAAAATACACGATATGTTGATCCATATAATTATATTTATAATTTTATTACTATTATTCCAGTATATCGTATCAGGCTCGGATGATTTTAATGTATATATTTGGAAGATTCCTGACGGTGTACTTTCGTTAAACTTTGATATTCATGGTATTTTATCATCTGCTATATTTAATCCTATGTATACTAGAAGCTTCCACGTACCACTTGCCTTATTATATAATGAAAGGGCACAGATCCATAGTTAATCAAACAAGGTTTGAACCTAATCAAAATTTATTGGTATCATCAGGCGTTGAAAAAATTATCAAGGTTTAAAATTTTACATCGTTGAAATATAAATCTAGTTTTAAAAACGAATCGTGATTTGCAGATTTGGAGCCCGAACGCGATAGGGTTGAAGGATAAAACTTTACTCAAAATTGGACCTAACGTTAAAAATATATTTGCCAGTAGTGATAAAAAAATGTGCAAGGATTTTGTCATTTGTGATAAAGATTTTATGGCAACATCATGTCAAAAAAATGAATCGGATATTATAATCGATAATAGTCATTCTTTGGACACCGGCATTTATTCTGCTCTAAATTTAGGTAAAATGTATTTTACTCTCATTAAATGGTGCCCACATCTTGAATTAAATATTGAATGCTTAATTGAATAATTTAAACTTATTTAATAATTTGGATGTAATATTGTATCTTCTATTTTATAAATCCTTTTTTTGGAAGGGAACCATGATTTTTTACGAAAAATAACAAGTAATGGTAACTCGTTTTTTTGCAAAATAATAAGAAAAGTAGCATTCACAGTTGTGCAGAAAGCTAATACCATTTAGCATTATTTTAGCCTATAAAATAGGGGAAAAAAGTTTACAATTACTAATCCCACCTCATTTAATTTTATAATGTGTTACAGACTTGACCAATAATAGGGAACCTATATCATTAGAGGCCGATAATGAAGCTGTCAATACAAGCAATGAAGTACACGATGAAAATACGCTCGGTGAAAATGAAGCTATATTGATGTACCCTAGATCCCTTCTGACATCTTATGACACGGCTGAACCTAGTGTTGAGGAAGATACCGGGATGCTCGCTTTCTTTGATTCACTACTTCAACACGAGCTCGAAGGTTACATGCATATCTTATAAAAAAATAGGGAGTGTCTAATCCTTATTTAAATTTTTTTTAGATTATATAAACTACATAAAATTTAGGAATTAATTTTATTTTGTAGCTTCATTATTTTAAGCAGATTTCATGAACTTGCTCGATCAGAGACTTCTACGAGAAAAAATATATTAAGCAATTGCATTTACAATTTTTTTAGGGCGTACCGCTTTTTAAATTTTTATTTAGCGATGCATATAACATTTTTCTGCCAATTCTTTTATTTTTGAGAGCTTATTTTATTTAAATTAATTGATATTTGTCTTATTTATTATGAAAATATTTTTATTTTAAACAAATTGAATAAGCATTTCTCATAGAATCAAGAGACATAATTTTCCCAAAATAATCAAGTTTACTAATAGATAGGGCAGGGAAACAACAAAATATTTTGAAAATATAAACAAAAAATTTGGAAAACTGATTGTGTAAAATATATCAATCACTATAATTTACTTATAGGTTGGGACTCCGATTTGGGATCAACGTCCTCTTCCTTTTCATCCCTCAGTTCTTGTGACGAAGAAATATCCATCACTTCCGCCTCCACTTCCCCGAAATTAAATCAGACCTATAATGCTAATAAGTATAGTTCCGATTCATATAAAGCTAATCTTACTAACAAAAGCTTTAAAAAGGATAATTTACCTAATACAAATTGCAATTCTCCCTCACAAATATCGTTTTACGAATGCACAGAGAGAGAAGAGCATCCGCCGTCTCCTGTTATACAACCCTCTACATCTTCAATCAAGAAGCCATCCGCTTTTAAAAGGTTTTTAAAACCCCGAGGTGAAAGGGGCAACATTTTTAAAAAGTGCAGAAAGAATTACGATTTTATCAGTAGTATTTCCCCTTCTAGTTCCTTCTCTTCTTCTTCCTTTGATGCGAGCTCTCCATTTGTTTCTAATACTGTCTATAAAAATGACACAGATCTGCTTGCACCAGCACTCGAAAAAAACGTTTGTTCAAATTCGACCTTTATCGGGCCACTTTTCAAGATGGAAGGACATTCCCACTATGATAAGCACTCTATTGTAGAGGTTCTCTCAATACCCGAGAATCTCGAAATCGATAAAAATAAAACAAATCAAGGCAAGAATCATAGAATCGCCATCGGAGCCAACAATAACAATCGGCTTAAACGTGAAAACCCCGATTACCGTTTGGATGCGATCAACGATGGTTTTGATTTTTACCTGACTTTTTACTCACATTTTGAGGCAGGTTGTCGACTTTTTAATAACGAAAATGATACTAATCAACAATACAGAATAAGTATTTACAATAATTCGGTTAACCACTTAGAAATGCCTAAACCAAAAAAAGAGTTATTTGATTCATGCACTATCAAAAGGCCTTTGTTGGAAATAGTTCACAATAACGTTAAGCAGATTAAAACATCGGAGGATCACATCAACAAAAATAATTGTGATAACTTTAGCAATAATATAACCGTTGATAAAACTTTTATACTCGAAAATAATTCTAAAATTGATTGTAATATAAATAATAACCACGCTTATATCCCTTGGGATTCCGAAATCCCTCCACTTTGTCAATCGAAATTATCTAAGTTGATATTGGAAAAGAAGGCGAAAGAAAAAATCAATAAAAATCGTCCTTATCTAACTGTTCACAGCAAACGCCGTAGATATGGAAATAATCAACAAACAAATAAAGAATTACCAACAAACAATTCACATAAATTACTCAATGATAAAAATAAAATGGTGTCTAGTTACAATGAATCGGAACATTCGGAGAGTGAGGAATTTAATTTCAAAAATTATATAACTCGTTCGGGCGAAAATATAGGCCAGATTATAATAGGAAAAAATGATAGCATTGATAATTTCTCGAAGTATAACCAATCCCATGATAGTGATGAAAATTATGGTATAATGCACTAATGTATAATTTTATATATATTTTTTTTAACGAATTTAAATTTTTATTTAAAAAATTGTAACAAATGCTCCATTTCTGGGTGAAAATTGAGTTAAGATCAACCCACTATTTTAAATTTCAAATAACCTCAAAAAATTATTTTTCCTTTATAATTAGATAGTTATTGTATTAATTAGATGGTAACTATGTTTAAAAAAAAATACGTATAATTGATCGAAGTGCAGTTAGAACCCGAAAGTAATCATACAACATAATTCTTTATTTTTTTTATTATAGGAATAACTAGTCAACAACACTCACTTAAAAATGGGAAAGAGCGCTTGTTACGGAAAATCAAAATGTTGAAAGCACTCGAAGATAAGGAATCTAATAATATCATATTTGAACCAGATAGTAAATCTTATCCAAATATTTCGAACACTTAACATTTATATTTAATAATGTTATAACTTAAACTCGTACCTTAATTTAAAGATAATTTATAATATATTCAAATAACATTTAATGTGTTTTATTTATAAAACTATAATTTTTTTATTCAAAATATTTATCAATAAAATAAAATGAGGTTTGCTAAATTATATAATTAAAAAACTGTCATTCATACTGCTTATTCTATTTTGATATTTTAATTGGGTATTTTGTCATGTGACTTTTCATTAAATTTCGCACGGGTTTAAGGCGATTAATGAATTAAATGCATCTTAAAAATGTCCATACATAGGAGTCAGCTTTAGCGCCATTTTGTGGTTTGCACGTCGATAAATGGCGCTACAGCAGACTCCTATTTATGGAACTTTTAAAAAGAGTCACCAATCTTGTAGTGTATGTCGTATTAGGATATGGAATCAGGGAATTCGGAAACTTTCGATTTTTGTGGAAAAATATTATAAAACCATACTGACTTTTTTAAGTACGATAAAGTAAAAAAAGTTTTTTTTCGCAATTTTAAAATCTCCCCAAAAGAAATTTTGACTAAATTTCGCAATTTAAAAATTTTATATTAGGTATAAATAAAAAATTTTGTCTGCAACAATGTGAGCATATATAATATTTCTACTTCTGTTTTCCACACAAAATTATCATTGACAATATTGCTAAATTAGTAATTCCATACAGAATATCCTATGTAATTTCAATTTCTCTTAAAAAAAAATTTCTTAATAAAAAGGACACATTGTTTTTAGAAAACTATAATTATCATCGAGATATGATATTTCTTTGTTTAAACGCTATAAATATGTTAAAAATTAAATTTTATATAAAGATACTAATCTATAAAAGTAGTTACTATTGCCAATAATATGATCAATCATAAATGTATCTTTTTAATTTTTGGATAGCGTCTAATTATTTTAAAATTAAATTTTTTGGAATGATATACTTTCCATTCCTTACTTATCAACAAGAAAAGTTCACAATTTTTAGAAAGAAAGAAAGATTTGATTATCATTTAAGGCTTGGAATTATAAGTTATTTTTAAAAGTAGCACCCTTTCCGTGATCATTTTTTAAAATCAGTTTGTGAATTTGATAATTTTTTTTGAGAATTTTCATTATATTATACCTTTTCCTTGATCTTCATCAATTTCATAAGGTTTATCCACATTAGAAGTCTGCAATAGGCAGGTTTTAGCCAAACAAAACTGGCCCATTCATTGTTTTAATTTTTTTAACCCGCCTGACCATGTTTTTTTTAATTCCTACTCCCAACCATTTATCTAAATATTTTGTTTAACCCGCCCTATGTTTAAAAATTATTTTAATGGCTAGTTAGGCTCCTATATTTATTATTATATTAAACTTATAAAATATACAATATTATGAAATAAAAAATGTTTTTTAATAAATAAAAGTCTGTTCTGCTCATTTCGCCCGAAAAATATTTAAAATTTATCCGATTATTGTTTTTATTTTTGGATAGACACTGCAAAATTTGATTGATTAATATTAAAAATAATCTTGGTTTTCGGAAAGCATCTGTGGCCTAGCCGATAAGAGCGTCGCTTGCCAATAGGATGGTTTAGATTAGTGTTGTTAAACGGTCATTCGGGCTGATTTTTAAAAAGGGTCCGATTATGTTTTTAGCTAAAATAATGTTATTTAAGCCTCGAGATTTGGCAATAAACCTTTCTGCCATATATGAGTGAAATATTCAGGCTTACATAATATCGTTGTGGCAATCTTAACTGGGTCGTTTTTAAAAATAGAATTAGTTTGGGTAAAAGATGTTTGTAATAAATAATCATATTTAATAAATCTTTTAAAAAATGTTATGTTGTGAGAGTTTGTCTAAATTTTATCCTGAAACCTTAAACTTAGTGATATATATATATGCAATTAAAAGTTGAAGAAAACCCCTACCTTACCTAATGGGCTAAGTATACTGAAGGCAATATCACTTTGAAGGTACCGTGCGTTTAGCGATAGCGCTGTCTTCTTTGGGAAAGGAAACCTAAGTAGAAGTTAACCAAATGATTAGTCATAAGCCGACGCAAGATTCCAAAAACACGTATTTTAAGAATAATGGTAATAAATTCATTAATAATAGGTATATTGTCAACAAATTGAATCATAATAATTATAAATCTAGTTTTAAACCTAACTTCATGCAAAAAAAGTCATTGCTTGAATATATTTTCTAATAAAGTTACCATTGATGCGAAGATAAATGGTTTGTGGTTTACAATGAATTCGATACCGGTGCTGCATGCAGTATGATAGATGAAGTTGCCTGGAGACGCATTGGAAAATAATCACTATCGCCTCCATATGAATTAATGCGGTTTAATAATATCAAAATCGAAGTGTTGGGTAATGTACAGTGAAAGTCGAGGTAAATATCATTTCTAAATTTTTACCTATCTGGTTAGTAAAGGAGTGAATTCCCTTATTTTTGGAATGTCTTTTCTTAGAGAATTTGATAAGCTCCGATAATATTTCAACGCTTTATGCAAAACCTAATAAAGTAAATTCCTATGGTTAATGTATTTTTAGACGACATAATAATTGCGGGCGAGAATATCATAGTTAGAAGAAGATTACATAAGTCTGGATTGACAACGAACACCTATAAAATTAAAATTGGAGAAAAGTCAGTTACTTATTTGGGTCATATTATTGACGAATTCGGAATTCACCCCACAGAAGATAAGCTTATTGGCATAAAAAATTGTAAGCACCGTCAAATATGAAAGTATTACGTTTGTTTCTAAGGATGTTATCTACCTTGTGTCGTATATACAAAATTTACATTATATTTATGCGCCTCTACACCGACTAACGAGTAAAAATGTTAGTTGGTTGTTCAGCTCAAGAAAATTAAATATTTAATTAATAAAGTTATAAATATATTATTAAAAGAGGATACAATAACTCCTTATTCTGCCGATATTCCTATCGATTTCTTGTGACGCTTCCGAAGTGGCCTAGGTGCTGTTATTGCACACCGATTTCTTACTGGCCAGAAAAACCTATTGCTTACGCAACTTTCGGCAGCTGAAGAGAATTACGCCACCATTGATCGGAGGCCTCGGCGATCATGTTTGCTATCGAGAAGTTCCATCAATATATTAATGGAAGTCATTTTATTTTGGTTACGGATAACAAACCTTTAAAATATATTTTAGGTGACTAATGAAACCTAAATAAAATAACCGTTTAATACGGTGGTCGACGAAGCTATTAAATTACGACTATGCGATAATTCATAGACCTAGTAATCAAAACAAATGTGTCGACGCTCTGTCCCGTTTGGGGGTAGAGAGAGCAAAAAACAATGGGGTTACAAATAATTTCGAAAATAAAATCAGAAAATTAAATATTAATTTAATAGAAGATTTATCTTTCACTCTTAGCAAAGTCATAAGTAAGAATGATAACAATCTGAAAGAGATTATTAAATAAATTAATAATCATTGGTATATTGATAATATAAATAATTATTCAGAGATTTAAAAAAAATTTATATCAATTAAAAATAATATTTCGTTCGAAGAAGGATTATTATTTTATAATGATAGGATTATTATCCCTGATAATCTAAAGGAGGTTTTGAATGTTATTCATCAAGGACATCCTGAGATAGTGCGAATGAAATAATTATAGATACTATATTTTTTGGGCAAATATTGATCGTGATGTTGAAGATTTCGTTAAATACTGCAAGAGTTGAAGGAAGATCGGGAGCCAGAGAACTGCCGCTATATAATTGAAACATTCCTACCCGATCTTGGGAATGAATAAACTTTGATTTGACAGGCCTTTACATGGAAAGTATTGGTTAATTTGCATAGACGCCTTCAGCAAATGGGTTGAAGTTGCAATCTTAACATATTAATTCGGCGAATGTAATAAATAATTTGCGTAATTATTTTGTTAGATTTGGGTTACCTCCCTACATTGTTTCAGATAACGGTACTCAGTTTACTGGATGTGTATTTAAAGCGTTTCTTTTTAAAAACAACATAAAACATTTTAGATCGGCATCTTATAACCCCAAATAAAAGTTTGACTGACTTATATACCTACTATAAAACGCGTTTCTATGTTGGAAGGAGATGTCGGACTTCGGACCAGTTAAATTTAGCTAATTTTTTAATTCCTCATCGAAATACTCCATATGTAACTACTGGGAAATCCCCTGCCGAAATGATGTTTGGAATGCCGCTCAGGACGACGTTAGATAAGTGGAAACTATATACGAGAGAAAGGACTTGAAAAGGAATTATGGAAACAAAAATAATAATGAAAGGAACGTTGAGCCCCGTGAATTTGAAAAGAAGCAAACGATTTGGGTAGAAAAAGGAAAGACATGAATTGGAAAATATGATCTAAAAGGATAATTTTTTTTAAATTTATTTTTCTGTTCCAGGAGGTTCCACATTCATCCTTTAATTCCCATATGGTATAGTATTGTTGGTTGTCCATCCTTTTATCATACAGGTTTGTCGGTCATATCATCTTAAGTAGTCGGCCATAGCATCTTGGCATGATAGTTTTATCTTAAATTTGATGTCATTTATTCAGCATCATTGAGGTTGATTTGAGAAATATTTAAATAGATTAGTCAGTAAAATGTGTTTATCCCTTCCAATTATATCCCAAATTTATTATTTCTACCCTTTAATTACCTAAAACACTTATCCCTTAAATTATAATCCTAAATTTCAGATATTAAACATGAACTTACTGATCCCACTAGTTATGAGGCTTTTTGTTCCTATGATGGGTGCTCTTTCACTTTTCTTGGGTCGTCATTAATAACACCCAAAATTTCAAAAATAAATCATAAATGGCTTACTCCTTTATTATAACTTTTGATATATATAAATCTACATTTTAACATGGAAAACCAAAAATATACTATTAATCTTACATATACAATATTACCCATGTATATACATAAACTTGTAACATATAAAATATTGAAATTTGCAGCATCTTCTTGACTTTCAATCTATCTTTAACTCATGTTCTGCCTTTACTTACTTTTAATTGACTTTCATATCTAGGATTTGCCATACTTTTTATTTGATCACATTATTTTT